CAGAAATTACTATGAGATTCTGGGAGTTTCTCGAAATGCCAGTGATGAAGAGCTTAAGAAAGCTTACCGAAAACTCGCCCTGAAATTTCACCCTGACAAGAACTGTGCTCCTGGAGCAACAGATGCTTTCAAAGGTCTGATCCTGAACTAATGCTTAATTTTGCCCTCCTTGTAATGTTTGGTCACAGTCAGTTTGCAGCCTCCCCTATAATTGTGTTATAAGGCCACAGGCATGGTTTTTTGTTGTTGTTTTTTCTTCCACACACCTCTTAAGTAGCAATTATCAGCACAGCTCCCTCCTGTCTTCATTCACTTATCTTAATTTCTTTTGGAAAAAATATTTAGTTTCTATGTAACACCTTTGGGAACCATTCATCCATTGATTCAGCAAATATTTATTGAAGATCTAAGTGTCAGGTGCCACTGAAAATAAAACAGACCCAATTCTTCCTGTGGAACTTACAGGCTGGTGGCTGCTAACAAGTAGGGCCTAAACAGCATGCCCAAACTTCTTTGACCATGGAACTCTTTGTTCATGAAACCCCTGTGTATAAAAAGCATAAATACAGTTATAGATCAAGTCTTTTTTCCATGAATTTCCATGATACTTCCAGAAATATATTTTGAAAAATATCTTGGACCCAACACATAAATAAAAATCTTAGTTAAGAGCTTAACCCCCAGTGAAGTCAGTGATTCAGGCAAGGATTATCAATGGGTGCTAAAACCATTGGGTGATAGGTTGTTGTTGAGTAGGATATTCATATGATGTCAAAGTATTACCCTACAGGATACTTATTGATTACAAAGGGGAAAAATTCCTTTATAATGGAGATATCTAGCTGTCACCACTTTAACCAATTGATCCAACTTACCATCCCCAAATATTGGAACAACCTAACATGTGATATAGCACCTATGTGGTATTCTTGCCAAAATGTTTGACTTGAATTTAATAATGAAGAAACAATCAAAATATGGAACATTCTACAAAGAACACTGACATACTCTTCAAAAAATTCAATATAATGGAAAGGAAAAAAGGTGAGGAGACTGTTCTAGATTAAAAGAAATGAAAAAAACCTAAAACCAAATGCAATACATGAACCTTGCTTGGATTTACTGGGTAACAATGAATTGATGTTAATTTTCTTAGCTGTGATAATGGTCTTGTGATTATGTAGGAGAATGTCTTTCTTTTTAGAAGATATATGCTGAAATATTGAGGGGTGAAGTGTCATTATACTGTGGCCTACTTTCAAATGGTTCAGCAAAAGAAATGTATATATATTATATATATGTTTGTATGTATGTATAGAGTTAAGGGAAGCAATGTGGCAAAATGCCATAGAGATTTGAAATTTTTCGAAACAAAAAGTAAAAGTGATAAATCTGAGAAATTTTTAAAAAGTCAACATTTACCTCAGAGGACAATCTACTTTTGTCGATGTTCCATTGTGAATCTAGTTCTCCCCACAGTTTCTACAAGGAAACAAATAGATAACCCACATTCTCTTTATAGCTACATGTATGATATCTCATAGACTAATGCCTTTTCTTTAATAAATCTGCCAGATTTCAAGGGACATGAATGTTTAACAACTTTAGGTTTTTTGTTTTTTTCTGCTTAGCTGTTTTATTGCTGTAAACATTTAATACAATTCCCTAGCTAGAAGAATCATAAAGATATGCTCTGTTTGACTGTGTTTCTGATAGTGTTGACTGAGTCAGAGGTAGGGGCTGGGGATGTCTTAAAAGCTTTACTTTTTTGAGGTTTCTTTGATTGAAGGTACAGATTATATGTTTAAATGAAATTGGATAAATAGGGAGGAGCGGTGATGGTAAGCATATGTAATCTATTCAACCTCTGATCTCTCATTGAGACACGGAAGATACATTTCTTAATCTCCAAAGATCATTTTCTAAAGAAAGCTGAAATAAGATTGTGATGAGTGAGGACTTTGCTTTTAGCCAAGCAATAATTTTACCGATTATTTTAATCAGGTGATTATTTCTAGACTTCAAGTTAGACCACCACTATTTATGTATGAACTGTTTCTAACCATAAGCTATTGCTCTCAAGTGAAATAAGAACACATTTTTGATGAATGAGAATAGTTCCTAGTTCATGTGACATCCAGTGTTGTTTCTGGCTTTAAAATTTTGATCATGGAAAATTTCAAGGGCAAGCACTCTGATGAACTTTCTAGGTCCAAGCACCTCCCTTGGGCCCCTGTGAAGCTATCCAGCACCAATCAACTGTGGACTCTACATTACTGCTGCTGTGACCACCCGGAGCTATTTAGCAAAGACAATAATGTACTCAGATGCCTTTTGGTTTCGGTTGCAGCCATAGGAAATGCCTTTGCAGTCCTGAGCAATCCTGACAAGAGACTCCGCTATGATGAATATGGAGATGAACAGGTGACTTTCACTGCCCCTCGAGCCAGACCTGATAATTATTACAGAGACTTTGAAGCTGACATCACTCCAGAAGAGCTCTTCAACGTCTTCTTTGGAGGACATTTTCCTACAGGTTAGTATTCCAAAATTATCATTTAAAATATATATGTATCAGCAAGCTCCTGTTTGAGGATTTGAATAGAGGGACATGGTATGGTGGAAACAGCAAGAATTTGGAATCGGGTTAACTGGGATTTGAGGCAAGTCTCCAGCCTCCAACTGTGCATGATTTTGACCAAATCACTTAGTCTCTCTCTTATCCTGTTTCCTCGCCTGAAAAATGGAGCTTATAATAGCTACCTCACAGTTCGGCTGTAAGGATTAGATATTTTTAAGTGCTTTATAAATAAGTAACAAAATGCCTATTATTATCATTATTGCAAAATAGCAGCTATATAAAGATAAAAGTTAGAAAAGTACCCCCAGAGAGTTGGAAGTTGGGGTAATTAAATGCCCAGGAAGTAAGTTTAATGCTACTAAAGACACTAGTGACATAATCTGATATTGGGCAAGGAAACAAATATGTCAGAGAGGACTCATGGCCCCAAAGCTTTTTTTTTTTTTTNAATAGATAACCCACATTCTCTTTATAGCTACATGCGGGGCCCTCTGGTGTCCCAAGCCAGTTCTTAACCAACACGGCACTCGGCCGGCCCAATGTATAGCTTTTTAAAAAAACGAGATTGATGAATAATAATAGCCAGTATTTATGTAGTGTCAGATGACATCAAGCACTTTGATGAATACTTTATTTAATCATAACAGCTCTGTGAAATATAGTTATCATTATTAGCCCATTTTAGAAGACAGTACTGAGGCACAAAGGTTAAGTACATAGCAAGATCAGATCCCAACAAAGGCATTTTGACTCCAGAGTTCATGCTCTAGTCCGGCAGTTCTCAAAGTGTGGTTTGGGAACCCCAAGACCCTTTTGGGGGTCTGCAAGTTTAAAACTATTTTCATAATAATACAAACACATTATGTGCCTTTTTTTCACTCTATCCTGAGTCTACAGTAGAGTTTTTGAGAGGCTACCCAATACATAATTACTTGTATCTCATCACTGTGTTTAAATTTTTTTTTTCATTTTTAGTATGGTAAATATTGATAGATATAACTCACATAAACAAAAGCTCTTTGGGGGTCTTCAATAATTTTTAAGACTATAAAATATTTCTGAAACCAAAAGTTTAGAACTGTCACTCTGGTCTAAACTATCATCTTATACTTCTCATCTCTATATGTTATGGCTTAGTCTCTAAGATAAATTGTTAGTTTTTTTATAAAAAAGCAAGATGTAGGATGGTGATTATAATTTAGAAAGGTGATTTTAATTACCGAAAAGCTGCCATTTAGGTAATAAAAAAAATAGAGCTCTCTATACATATACTTACCCAATACATAGCATTCACAGAAAATTAACTGTGGGAGACTGGGGACAG